AACATTATTTGCAGACTTGAATAAACACTTATTTTTTACCATTCTTCCGTATGCCCTAGTACGCTCTATACACAAATTTAATTGATTTATTATTATAGGATCTACTCGTAATTCTTTCCCGAAATATCTGTTTATTCCAAATTTCTCAGTTCTTATTGTGCATCTATTTTGTAAGTAATAGCAATAGTCTAATACAGGTGAAAAATCTTTCGCTAAAACATGTCTTTCTAACATCATAATACTTTGCTTAATTGAAAGAGTTCTACATATTTGACTTAAGACTCCTTTAGCGGCATGCACGCATTTTATAATGTGCCCGTTGCCAGATTCAAATGGATAACAAGAATGTGACCAAAGTGGTCCCCAATCAGCAACACTCTGTGAAAGATGACTGACTTGATGGACATTAAAAGACATCGCACTCTCTCCATAATAATATTGTGTTAAGGCAACAAATCTTCTTAAAAGTTTATCTGCTCTACGTAATTCAGCATCACTAATGAAAGGTTGTAATAACAAATAATACCCTTCTACTAATAAAAACCAGTGCTGCACATAATTTTGGAAATTAGGTAATTGTGATAATACAGGCAAACTATAGAATAACAGCCAATTTTCCCACTCCGCAGCATTCCAATATTTACGATGGTAGATCGATCGCGATAATCGAACGAGTTTAGTTGGCACCTTGAAGGCTTTTATTTGCTTATCAATAATATCTATGTAAGAATTTGAAATTGAGTATGGCATATTTGATGAATCGAGCCAATATTCTGCGAATTGTTTTGCAATACCCAAATCCATGCAATGCATAGGGTCTGGTACAAAACCATCGATGATATCAAACTCTCTTAAATTCAATAATGGTGAAGCCTTCTTAATACCGAAAACCGATGTATTTGTATTTACTGCTTCTTGAATATGCTGTAGAGTTTGTTCGGCTGTTCTTCTGGCTGGAATTTCATTGAGTAAAGTGTATTTTACACTTGTGCCTTTATTGTAACGAACTGGTATTCCTGGATGGAGACACCAGTTACATCCATAGTACCCGTTAAACTGAGTTGTACCTTGCATTGTTGGCCGTGCTACAGCATCAACACAACAGCACAAGGCATATAAGTGAATTCGTCTTATTTCATTATTGATATTACAAACTATTCCATTTGTTGTCAAACTGTTCATGCTGTCAACAAAGGGACGTAAAAAATAAATCATGTTCGGTTTATCATGACCAAACCATAAGGAATATACTATTGATTTTTGATTACGCACATGCATTGGTACTTCATTAGGAATTATTTGAATTGGCCATATAGAAAATTTGGCGCTCTTAAAAATAGGCGACCCATCACTATTAAAAATTACTGTTAAGTAAGATTTTTTATGATCATCTGGCAGTGACGCAATGAACTCTTTATACTTTCGGCCATCGTGAATGTCTTGCAAGTTGTTATCAATTACTTGTTCTCTTTCGGCGATAACTGTAGTATAATAATCAGAGTTACTCTCTATGATGCTTTGGATTTCATCTGTTATATCTAATGTGACAAAGAAATCACGGTAACATGGGTCTTTTACATTAATTTCTTCTTCGCAAACCTGACAAAAAATTATATGATTGTTCTTACAAAATTCACCTATATGTGTTTTGCATGTTGGGCAAACTGCATGGTATTTTATTCCTTCTCCTGGATAAAATAATTTATCTATCATATACCGTGTATCTGGAATAAAAGGTGTAGCGACAAAAGTATTTAACATTTTACAAAGATCTGCTGTAGCC